CAGCATTTTCTTGATAATTTGCAAAGATTACCGTTTTTGAGATTAAATCAATCATCTAGAGGATGTTAATTTTATGCAATTCAAACTCATGCTAGTATAAAACGTCAAATCTACACGACAAGTAAGTTTTGAGGTTTATGGACGCTTATTTATAATTTATACAAAGATAAGACAGATAGTATTACAGATTTTTAATAGGAAGAAATCTAATGAATAACAATATACGAAGAAATATTCGAGAAAGTCATATCAGGAGTAAAAAAATCAGGAGTAAAAAAAGAGAGAGTGTGACACGGTTAAAGCAAAAATATGAAAGCAGCAGTAGGTTGTTTGAGAAGGTGGTTTGGGCCATAAGATTGTAATCTTGCCATTAACAAGGTGTTACAGCAAATATGCATAAGTTCCAGATCAACGATATATACAGAAACTGCCCTATTTAATTATTATTTTCCCGGACATCCGCGAGATTTACAGGCGATGTTGAGCTTGAAATTGCCGAGCATCATGTAGCTGTTACCCCATCGGTCTCTCTGCATACCTCCGCTGGAAAGGGAAAGATTTTTGTTTTTTGATTTTTGGTAAGCAATATTTTTCACAATATCAACCTTTATTTTTGCTTAACCAGAATCAGGTTGACCATGCTAAACTAAGCTTACCTTGATGGCTGCTGGTAATAGCTGCTTGTGCCATAGCCACGATAGTAATTGCTGTAGTAGTTATTGTAGTAGTTACTGTAGTCGTAAGTGGGATATTGTTGATACTGGGGATATTGCGAGTAGTATGAGCTGCCATAGCTGGGCTGTCGACTATAGTCATAACCGGAATATGCAGGATAGCTGTAAGAGTACTGTGGATAGTAGTTACTTTGTCCTTGTGTGGCAGAACCGTAATTGTAGTAAGAACTCTGCTGTCTCTTTTCCCTGAAGTAATGCTGAAGGCTTTGAGAGGGAGAGTGTCGCTTAGCTCTGATGAAGGCTAAAGATTGTGGAATCATTGTAAGGGCCAGAGCCAACGAGAACAGAAGGATTGCTACCATCTCAGAATGATTCGTGGAAACGGTAGGCGCGACTTATATGGTAGTGATACGTGAGTGCAACGGAACGGGTTTTCTGCTGGACGCTGATGATCACTGGGTTCAAAATGTTCGCTAGGCGTACGAAAAGTGTCCATTTAATCGTCATCCTTAAGAAAACAACGGGTGGAGAGCGTTGTGGGCGGGGAGGCTGCAGAATATGATATCATGTAAGTGTGCATAACTTGTTAGTAAAGATATCCGTCATAAATGACAGATCTCGAACGCAAATCCGTCGCTCAGCTAAACCAGGCGATGATTTAATGGAGTAATTTAATTATTCCGGAATAGTTACTCGTTTAACACCTGATATAGCTTCAATATAGGTTAACGATACTAGTAATTGGCGATAAAATAAACATCCAGAGATGGTCAGTTGCATGTGTCCGGTTGTAGATGTGAGACCAATCGTCCAGTTACATAGCTATTTACATTCATAGTTTTTGTGAATTATTTTTACTACTCCTT